TATATATATATAATTGAAGATTTTTAAAAAGAAAAAACACATCTATACTCTCAAATTTCCATATTTATTAATTGCTCTTTTATCTTCAATAATTATTACAACATATTTTTAGAGCTTTATAGAGTTTAATGATCTGTAATTTCACTAAGTAATCTGCTTTCTAAAGTCGACCAAAAGTGACATAAAACAATGTACTTATAATAAAGTAATGCAAGCAAAAATATTTGTAGTTACAAGATTTAATAGACAATAAGATTTCTATACAAGCAAAATGAGAGTTTTCAGACTATTATACTCATAGGTGCTGCATGAACAGTTTAAGGATAAAACAGATAATAATTCGGAGCACAGGAACAAAGACTAGACCCCAGCTTAGCATAATTTCGGAAACTTGCCAGTTTTTTTTTTAAATGTTTACTACATGTTGATCTCTGAGAGTAGATAAACTTCTCTGAAGCTTTGGCTGAAGAGGGTAGAAATGTCTCAAAGTAGAAAATTATATTCCTGCTCATTTAACTAGCTTCCTCTTTCATTAGAAATGAAAGCTAGTTAATCTATAACTGCTTCCTTTGTTGACACTGTAAGGAACGGGATGCACCCTGCAGGTGGCTGGCCTTTCTCATGCTTTCAGTTATGTTCAGAATCAGTTCTGTTCTTCCTTCTCATCTCCACCCCACCTCTTCTTGCCTTCCTCAATCCTCCTCAGGTCCACCTTGAGACCCATCTCCTTTCAGTTCTTGGCAGCCACAGAGCTGTTTTCCTTCTCTGATCTCCTTTGGCTCTGAGTGTCTTTATTAAACTCTTAACACATCTTGAGTCCACAAAACCGGAATGGCACTTGAACCCTCCAAGGGAAGGAAAACAAAAACAAAAAACAAAAAAACAAAAACGTTATTTTAAAGGTTTGGATTCTCTAATGTAAGATTTACAGGCCATTTTTTTTTAATGATTTTTTGGTCTGAAATCATCACGCATCCTTAAGAATGTCAGTTAATAGGGTGAACAATACTTGAATTTATAAGGTAATACAATCACAGTGTATACTTCTGAAAAAAAAGTGTTTTAAGGTAGAGTCGCTGTTTCTTCAAACATCTAGACTGTCATTGCTTTCTAAATGCTACTGCAGCGCCCTCTGGTGTTTTTTATTTAACATTTTTATTTTTCCATCTAGATCCTATTTGAGAAAAAGAATTCAGGGAGAGAATAACAACTTTCATTTACATCATAACTGACATTTTTAAAAGTACTTTCATGTGCAGTATTTTGTCTGATTCTCCAAAATTTTCACTTGAGGTCAAGGCCATTTTTCATATTCTTTGAGTGCCTTGCAAATAGCAGACCTTCCAGTAACGCACCCTGTGAGGTGTAGGCAGGGCAGAATTTATTAACCTCAGTAAATAAATCCTATGTTACACGGAAAACAGTCTCTATTTTTCTGACTTGCTTATGAGAATTTTCATAAGAAAATCCAAAGAATCTTTGAATCTTCAAGCTGAACATTATCTTAAGGGTGGTAACAGAAGATACTGAAAAAGTTAACAGTAAATTTCATGAAATTTGCAACTTCTTTTAAAATAGCTCATCGATAAGTATGTGTCTGCACATGTGTACGCACTCGTGTGTGGGTGGGTGGGTGAGAGAGAGAAATTAAATGTGACAAAAAATATTAATTGGTACATCTAGGTGAAGGACATAGAGGTGTTCATTGTCTTGATTTTCTAATTTCAAAATCATGAAACTTTTTAAAATAAAAAGTTGGGTCAAGAAAAATGTATGGTTTCCAATCCCAAATTTAATAAATAAATCATTTTAAAAAATAACACAGGTAGCCAGTGAAGCTTGGGTTAAACACCTTCACAGGCCAGTTTTTTCCTAATCGTTAAAAGCTAAGGTCTGCTCTCTGGAGCACCATAGAGTAAGTTCAGTCCCTCTGATAGTTGAAGACAGTTGGTACGTCCCCTGCACCCCTACCACCAAGTCTTCTTTACTCCTAATTAAATTTCTCTGAATATACTTAAACTCAATATTCTGTATGCGGTCTGAATAATATACCTATTCTTAATAATATGCCAGTAAACGCAGGCAATATCTACATATTCTTCCTTTAGTCAGCCATCTCTAATGTTGACAAATATTGAGCTATATAAAATTCCTAAACATTTTCTCTCCGGAATGCTGTTAAAACAGAATGCTTTTATTCTATCACTTTAACCCAAAGATAGGCCATTTTTCTTCTCTGAAGTTGCAAGGTCTTTTGAGAAGGAAATTGTAAGTAAATAAGGTATTTAATAATATAGAAGGAAAACTATATCTTCCTTATTTTATTGCTATTAAGTAGCAGTTTTCATCTCTCCATTTCTGCCAATAAAATTTTGTTCTATAGGCTTGTTTATAATGTAGCTAATGAAATTTTAGAACCTGCCCTTAAAAATTAAATACTTTATAGTTAACCAAAGGAGTCTAAGAGATGAAAGACGTCCTTCTTGAAGCTATAAAAAAGAGAAATAAAATTCTGCATCATAAGCTACTTTTAAAAACCTGATTAGATAAGTATTAAATTAAGAATGTTCCCAAGAGTATCAATTTGTTCTTTTTAGCAATATGGAGACATGTAAATATTCACAATTGTTACTAGAATGTCTTCTGTTTTTTGTTAAAAAGAAATCCATTCTTTGTTAATATAAATGTTATTTAAACCGAATGATCTAATAAGACTCCAAAGGCTTTAGAAAGTGTCACCTTGTCCTGTAAAAATAACCTCCAAGAAGAATCTGCTATTCTATCTTGTTGAGAGGGTTTCAACCTCATAATAATATTATAATCGACATCTCTGAATTTCTAAGCAGTCTTTTAATTTTTCTGCCAAATTAAGAGAGGATCATTAGCATTTTCCTTTTCTCCTATATATACAATGTGGAATTACTAACTATTACATAATAATGGAATAATTAAAAGCCTATCTATGCCTTTGCTATATTTACTTCTTTTTTTAAATCTGAGTCTGAATTTATTTCATTTATATTAATAAATTCATGAATGATGGTATAAACAGAAGCATGACAGATAGGGAAAACAATTTTAGATCCAGAATAAAAATTGATCCCAGTGAGAACAAATTTTTGCCACCTCCATGATGAAAAGGGATCCAATGTAATCAATCTGTCACAGAGCGGCTGTCTGACACCCCTCCGCCCCCTTAGGTATTGTATTGGGGACCCAAGGGTGGGTGCTGCTCCGCCTGGACATCCAGCAGTGGCAGAGCCAAAACAGCCTTGGTAAAGAACATCTAAGCTATTGGGCCCATGCTCACCTCCACAGTCACTGCATTTATAAGCCCTGTTGAGCAAGAAAGGGTGGGAAGGGGGTTGCTGCTGAACAACATCCCCAGGACAGTCACCTGATTATTGACGACCTCTTCCAAAATCAGACCTTTTGGTGAGACTCACATGGAACAGAAATTTTCTCACACTCAGTGCCTGTTAAGAAAGTTTCATCCACATATTTTTTTTCTAGTCTTCCTTATTACCAGTCTTACAACCTAATTTCTTCAAAGTTTCTGATCCTCTGACCAAATCATTAATTACTGCCTCTTAGTGTAGATCCATATCTCAAGCTATTTCATTCTTATCAAAGAGGAATCAGAGAGATATAATCCTTGAAGTTCTGTTCCCTGGCCAGGTTTTTCAAGTCTAAAACTGCCTAACCAAGATGAAATCTCTTCGTCTTCTATGAACTGATCATAAGAAATCTCCCCAAGGGGTGGAATTGCAGTGGGAGTATGAATCAATTGCTCAGGCAATTTCCTGTGCCTTCAGGTCTGATTGGGTCCAGTCCCACATCTATCACTCCTGCTTGATAATGCTATTGTCCTGAGCATGTCCAGCCTTATAATCCTGTGGATCCAAAAATACCCAGTTTCTGGTAAGAAACTCAGATAGCATCACCTAGTGTCTCATGCTCAGGCATTTTTAATCATAACCAAGACTGAAGAGAGCATGACTTTGCTCTAAAACTCTGGGTTATCTACCATTATTCCATTATAGGAGTTCACCACAGGCTCCATATAACATCCTGCCACGGACCACTAAAAACTATTCAGTCCATAAAAGGAAAGCATCAGAGTTGTTCTCATAGCAATCTAGACAAGCTGAACTTCTCTTGCTCTGGGTTCTATTCAAAGCTGGCAGTTTTTTAAGTCACATTATAAATAGATGAGGGCTTCCCAAAGATGATTTTGCCCAAGCTGACTGCCTACTCATTAGCGTTTCCTCACTTGTCCCTTACAAACAGATCTCAATTTTATTCATGAAACAGGCAATAATGAGCTCAGGGAAGGTGGTACTCACCCTCTGCTCCAGGATCTAAACTGTGATTGGTCTAATCCCATTCCCCTTTGCTAGTGACTCATTTGGGATAGACATAAGACTCTATTATGGTGAGTGAGATATAAGGGGAAGTCTTCTGGGAGGGGGTGGTGCTTTAGGCAGTGATTTCCC